CCCCCCTCTCAGCAGCCCTAGCGGCCCGTCTCCCAGGCCCCCCATCCCCCACCCCTGCCCTTGTTCTGAGCGGTTGCCCCGTCTCCCAGGCCCCATCCCCCACCACTGCCCGGCCCCCGTCTCATGTGTCTCTAGATCACAACCTTCAACACTTGACTCCCTCTTGTGCGCCTGCCAGGACTCGCATTCGCAGGGCAGGCCGTCCGGCCGCTGGTGTTTGACGCGGATTCGTCCCGATGCACGACGACTGTGCACGACTGTCCCGCATGCAGGACAGGCGTGTCTGCACATAATCCTCCTGGTCACATCCCGCCATTGTTCTGTAGCGCAAGGCTGCCCATCCGGGGGGTTAGGACGACAGTTGACGCGAGCAGTCTGCATGGCGGCAACGACTGTGCCGCAAGTTGGGCATGCTGATCGTCGCTGTGCAGCCTGCTGTCGCGTCGCAAGAAGTGCAGCAATCTCTCGCTTGACGCCGCGGCCGCACATTTTCGTTCGCGACCTTCTCAAAACTTCGCGCCCGAGCAAAACAAGGCGGCCTCAGCCAGCTCTGGTCGGGCTGTTTGGGCAGTTCGGTTTTATATGCACACTGCAGGCAGAAACCGGCACTGCGTGACCACTGTTTCTTCGAGAATTCATGCTGTCCGCGGAGCATGTCGCAACGACTGCAACGTCGCGCAGCGCGACAGGAGTTGCACACGCGCGTCCACGTCCCTTTGTTGCTCCGCGACGCTGCTGGAAATGAGGGCCTGCCACTGCAGACAGCGACTGCAGCGCTGCAGCGCCATGGCTCGCTGTGATCGCGGTGCCACGCAACGCACTCCCTGCAAACTCTTGTTTCGTTGGAAGCACGCCATTGGGGGTTCGTGAAGAAAATTTTCCGCTTGTCTTGCAGACAGTCCACGCACGTGCGCGTTGTGTTGTAGCGTGCTCGAATTGCGTCCCAGTCTGGAGCATTGCCGCGCCAACAATCCAAAAGCAAATCTCGTGCTCCCCGAAGGCCTTTTTGAAAATCTTCAGGCGGAAAGGGCCGAGTAATCGGGAGTTTGGCGCGTTCTCGCACCCGCGTCATGGCTATGTACACTGTAATGATGTTGCCGCCCGTACCCAGCACGCAATCAAGAATGACGCCATCATCCAACGTCATGCCTTGTGCACTGTGGGCAGTCAAAGCAAAAGCGGGGGCCAACGGCACTTGCATCCGGGAAATCCGAAGCATCGGTTGCTTGCGTTTTTGGTCCAAGTACTCGGAAGCACGGCGAGGAACAATTGGATACACTGCTGCTGCCGGTACGCCATCGAGCTGCCACGTGGCGTTCTCACCGTGGAACTCCACCCATACGACGTCTGGACATGTCTTGAACACCCGCATTGACCCGACTCGCGCTACATCTAGCCCGTTCTCCGATTGCCAGCCTTTCACTGCGCCGAGGCGACCTTTCAACAGACTCTTCTCGCTTCGATCCAGATGCTCTGTCAAGCGCACAGGCATTCCGACACACAGAGGAAGCAAGCCATGGAGACTGCCGCAATGGCGGTCGTGATGCTTTAGCCAGTGTTTTTTGCATTTTTTCAGGTCTGGCTTTTCTCGGAGGGCCGGAGCGCTGATGCAATCCCTTGCTGGGAGCAAGGCCAGCGCAAACTTTCGTTCACGCGCGAACGCGGCTGCACGGACTTTGTTCACATGACGCTGGGTATCATTCGTGGCAAAGATGGCCGCTGCTTTGTCAAACTGCAAGCGGTACGCGTCGTCTTCAGGTCCACGCGCGACCCGGCGTCTGGTCTTTCGCTCATTCGCGCAGACACCGCACTCATTCTCCTGAATCTGGCGCGGACTACATGTGTCCCTCAACGTTCGACAAGCCGGGTTGCCGCATCCTACGTCGCCCCGCAGCCAACTCCCCGGAACAGTTGTGGGTTGTCCATGAAGAAACGCACGCATGTCCGCACTAAGATTCCCCACACGAACTTGCGCCTGGACCTCCTGCAGCCAAGCGTCTGTGGTTCTCTCGCATGTGAGAAGTTCCGTCATGCCCTGTACGCCGTGCTCGGGACCACCCCAGACCAGCAACTGACCATACGCAGTCGTCGGACCGCGCCGAACGTGTCCTTCTTCTAGTAGAGCCGTAGGCAGGGCGCCCAGAAACGTTCCGCTTGGCGGTTCCAATTGCCATAGGTCACCAGACAGGAGGACATTCAATCCACCGAATGGCCGCTGTACGTAACTGCCACTGTAGCACTTGCGCGTGCAAGCATCGCGCACCACATCCCGGCATTTCATCTCCAACCGCGCAAGGAGTTCGGCGCTAACCGCTAACCATACTAATTTCGTCCAGCAAGAGCCAGCGCCAACGAAGTGCTCGATGGGCAAGATCCATCTGTTTTTTGAGGCTGGACTCGTCCTCGTCTCGGAACACCTGGAGGACTGAATGACCTTTAA